CATATATATATATATATATATCATTCTTAAGTTTTATTTAGGAATGATCGACTTATAGGTTCCTAAACTTTTTGACTTTTTATAAAATAAGTCTGTAAACCATAAAATTTGTAATCAAATCTATGATATTTTTTTTAAAAATAGGTTTATGTGGTCAATAGAGAACAAAGAATATTCCATCAAAGTTATGGTTTTGTAAACGAAACTGTACTATCTGTACCGCTATGCCGAGCTCGAATTCGGCATTTCAACGCAAAGCGACCTCGGACACGCGCTAGGTGACGTCAGCTTGTCACTTAAACATATCATAACTGATCTCGGGCCCAAGGCCCAACGTAATCATATCATATGATATCTCATCATATCATATCATATCATATGATATCTTATCATATCATATCATATGATATCTTATCATATCATATCTTATCTCAGGCCCAAGGCCCAAGACAATCCTAATTCACACAAAGGTATGTGCATTATTTATACGAGACTCATACTCCCACAAACACTAACTTTAGCATCGAAGTCTCTTTTGCAGGTACCAACCCCATCTTGGAGCACCAGCGTACCAGTAAAGGAGCCTCACCGATCTTACCTGGCGGATCAGCTCTACAGCAGATTTCCGGTAAGAACATTTGGCGTCCACCGTGGGGCCGATCAAGACCAGCTCTTAACGGCCATTCTTATGGTTTTCACTAGAAGCCATAACAGACGCGCAACAGACGACCTAGATCGCTCAACTACCATGGATAGCGACGCAGCAACATTGAGGAGGCTGATCGACCAGGTCGAACAGATGCGGCAACAACACGCCGCCGGCCTACAAAGCATGCGTGCCAAGCACGAAACTGATCTAGCGGCAATGCGTACCGCTAATGAAGCCGACCTAGCGGCACTACGCGCCAAAAACGAGCGCATTCGCGCCCAACTCCCTCAGCGTCCCTCAGATCAACCCCCTCCGTAGAGTAACCTGAATGAGGACGAAGGGCACTCGGTTTCATAACCGCCAACAGCGGCTAGGGCACCGACTCCCAAGCCTCCCACACATCGGTCTCACGCGCCGACGAATAGGTTGGCGCATGATGTTAGCAATGCCCCCGCCCACGGCACGGGGAATCAGACGACCTTCCGCCGCCATCCTTTCGTGGACGGTATCATGGAGACACCTCTCCCCTTTAGGTGGAAGCCTCTCCACCTCGATCGCTACGACGGCACAACCGACCCGGACGAGCATATCGATCTATACACCATCCAGGTAAACCTCTATACTAATGAGGATGCTATACTGTGCAGGGTTTTTCCAACCTCGCTCAAGGGGGCTACACTCAACTGGTATACCCAGCTACCTGCCGAGTCAATTGACAATTTCGGCACTCTAGTAAGGCGATTCACGACGCAGTATGCCACGAGTCGACCTCACCATGTCACACCAGCCGCCTTGGCCAGTCTCAGACAGGACAAAGACGAATCACTGAGGGCGTTCATGGAACGCTTTAAGCCTCTTTCACGTAAACCCGAGTTCGAGGACGAACCCCGGTAATCTCGTTAAGGGTCAAATACGAAACTTAATCAAATTATTCACGTAAACCCGAGGTCGAGCACGAACCCCGGTACTCTCGTTAAAGGTCGAATACAAACCTTAATCAAATCATTCACATAAACTCGAGGTCGAGCACGAACCCCGGTACTCTCGTTAAAGGTCGAATACGAACCTTAATCAAATCATTCATGTAAACTCGAGGTCGAGCACGAACCCCGGTACTCTCGTTAAAGGTCGAATACGAACCTTAATCAAATCATTTACGTAAACCCGAGGTCGAGCACGAACCCGGTACTCTCGTTAAAGGTCAAATACGAACCTTAATCAAATCATTCACGTAAACCCGAGGTCGAGCACGAACCCGGTACTCTCGTTAAAGGTCAAATACGAACCTTAATCAAATCATTCACGTAAACCCGAGGTCGAGCACGAACCCGGTACTCTCGTTAAAGGTCAAATACGAACCTTAATCAAATCATTCACGTAAACCCGAGGTCGAGCACGAACCCGGTACTCTCGTTAAAGGTCAAATACGAACCTTAATCAAATCATTCACGTAAACCCGAGGTCGAGCACGAACCCGGTACTCTCGTTAAAGGTCAAATACGAACCTTAATCAAATCATTCACGTAAACCCGAGGTCGAGCACGAACCCGGTACTCTCGTTAAAGGTCAAATACGAACCTTAATCAAATCATTCACGTAAACCCGAGGTCGAGCACGAACCCGGTACTCTCGTTAAAGGTCAAATACGAACCTTAATCAAATCATTCACGTAAACCCGAGGTCGAGCACGAACCCGGTACTCTCGTTAAAGGTCAAATACGAACCTTAATCAAATCATTCACGTAAACCCGAGGTCGAGCACGAACCCGGTACTCTCGTTAAAGGTCAAATACGAACCTTAATCAAATCATTCACGTAAACCCGAGGTCGAGCACGAACCCTGGTACTCTCGTTAAAGGTCGAATACGAACCTTAATCAAATTATTCACGTAAATCTGAGGTCGAGTACGAACCCCGGTACTCTCGTTAAGGGTCAAATACGAACCTTAATCAAATTATTCACGTAAACCCGAGGTCGAGCACGAACCCTGGTACTCTCGTTAAAGGTCGAATACAAACCTTAATCAAATCATTCATTCACATAAACCCGAGGTCGAGCACGAACCCCGGTACTCTCGTTAAAGGTCGAATACGAACCTTAATCAAATCATTCACATAAACCCGAGGTCGAGCACGAACCCCGGTACTGTCGTTAAAGGTCAAATATGAACCTTAATCAAATCATTCACGTAAATCCGAGGTCGAGCACGAACCCACCCCGGTACTCTCGTTAAAGGTCGAATACGAACCTTAATCAAATCATTCACGTAAACCTGAGGTCGAGCACGAATCCCGGTACTCTCGTTAAAGGTCGAATACGAACCTTAATCAAATCATTCACGTAAACCCGAGGTCAAGCACGAACCCCGGTACTGTCGTTAAAGGTTGAATATGAACCTTAATCAAATCATTCACATAAACCCGAGGTCGAGCACGAACCCCGGTACTCTCGTTAAAGGTCTAATACGAACCTTAATCAAATCATTCACGTAAACCCGAGGTCGAGTACGAACTCCGGTACTCTCGTTAAGGGTTGAATACGAACCTTAATCAAATCATTCACGTAAACCCGAGGTCGAGCACGAATCCCGGTACTCTCGTTAAAGGTCGATTACGAACCTTAATCAAATCAATCGTAAACCCGAGGTCGAACACGAACCCCGGTACTCTTACTCAAAGGTCGAATTTGAACCTCTATAACCTCAATATTTTCACTTAAAGGTCAAATCCGAACCTCCATCGTTTATCCCAATTAGAGGTCGAGCACGAACCTCAAACACATAAATCCGAGGTCGAGTACGAACCTCAATATTCTCAACTAAGGCCAAGTCTGAACCTTCGTTCATCCCAATTTGAGGTCGGGTACGAACCTCAACATTCTCACTTAAAGGTCAAATTCGAACCTTCATTAGCCAGTTTATCACAAATTCGAGGTCGAATGCGAACTTCGACATCCCCACAAGATTGACTTCGAACCTTAATCAAACCACTTCGCTCATCACTTCGCCAAATCGTCTAACCCATAATCCGAGGTCAAGTCCGAACCTCGTTGAA